CCAAGGACAGCTTTTGGGAGCAAGGAAGGTTCAAACCTGGTTTTGGGGGCGGGGGTCTTGCATTCACGAGAGGAAGGAAGGGGTGTGCTCACTTGGGAATGGTGTGAGCAGCGGTGGGCCCCCGTGCCCTGTGGGCGATGGCAGTCCTTTCCACTCCCAGTGGCAGTGTGGGACCCTCCCAGTTCAGCCCGGCCCCATATTTGCCAGTTGCCCTGCAATGGTGCATTCATCCTGTCCAGCCGGGCACCTCTAGCCTGCCTAATGGGGGCATTAACATCCGGCAGGCAAGAGAGGAAGCAGCTTCATGCCCCTCCCCACTGGCCTGGTCCATTGAAAGGCCACTTTCTGTCCATCAGTCCCTCAGAGCCAGTCATCAGATGTGGTCACCTAGGGGCGTCCATTCTGCAAAATGACCAGCTCCTGAACACTCCTGTTGGCTTCCACGGCCACATGTGGGCACCCTGGGCTGCCTGCCTCTCCGCCGGGAGCAGGGAGAAGAGTAAAGTGAAAAAAATACCTGCTGCCATGGCGGGTTATACCCATTCTCCAAGGAGGAAATGGAGGGTGTTAGCAGGGAGAGTTGGACCCTGGGAAGGGAGAGGTGGCGTTGCGTCTGTGGGCACGACTGGAGCATGTTTCTAGGACGCCCGTGGGGGACGGAATACCAGAGGACCCTGTCCTGCCAGCTTCATGACAAGCCGCCTCCTAATTTTTCCCAGCTGGGTGTTCATCATGTCACGACATCCTCTGTGTAGAGGCAGCTGCTCCCGGGGTGTCCCTTGCAGAGCCTGCCTTAAAAAAAAAATGATCTTTGGTTTTATCACCGAATATTTCGGGGCAGATCTCGAGCGATGTTATTCTGTGATAACTTCTCCCACCGGCCGGGGTTTTGTGTGATTCTGGGAAAGGAAAAAGGAGGCTGCTCTTCCTCCCCTGGGCCCCTGATGCAGCAGTTTTCTGGAGGTCGGCCACACTTCCATCGGTCCATCTGTTGGACGTTTGTTGAGTGTGGTTGGGGCTGGATTGGGGCTGGGTGCAGAGTAGGGGTGACAGCACCCGCAGGAAGGACCCCTGACAACCTTGTAGCCCAGAGGTTTCACCCGTCTCATGGTCCCTGCGTTAACTTCCTGTGATTGCTGTAACAAATGACAGCAAACGTGTGGCTTACACAGAAATTGACTCTCATGGTTCTGGAGACTGGAAGTTCGAAATCAAGGTGTCAGCAGGGCCAGCTTTAGGGAAGAATCCTTCCTGGCCTCTTCCAGCTTCTGGTGGCTCAGGCATTGTTGGCTTTTGACTGTGCCACTTTAGTCTCTGCCTCTGTGATCACATTACCTTCTCCTCTGTATGTCTCAGCCCTCCCTCTTCTTTCTCTGATAAAGACACTTGAAGGACTTAGCGTGTGTGCATGCTAAGTCGCTCAGTTGTGTCCGACTCTCTGTGACACCATGGACTGTGGCCCACCAGGCTCCTCTGTCCATGGAATTTCCCAGGCAAAAATGCTGGAGTGGGTTGCCATTTCCCCCTACAGGGGAATCTTCCTGACCCAGGGATTGAACTCCTGAAGCTCCTGCATTGCAGGTGAATTCTTTACCACTGATGCATCCAGGAATTATGCAACTTGCCCATCCTAAATCCAGGACAATCTCATCTTGAGTCCTTACCTTAGTGACATCTGCAAAGACTTTTTCTTTTCAAAGGAGGTCACATTCTCAGTTCTAGGGGTTGGGACTAATCTTTGGGGGGGGCACTGTTCAAAGTGCAACTTCTCAGGGTGAGATGGGGCTTGAAGTCCTGGTGCCTGCCTTCCCTGGGCCCACAGTTAGAAACCTGTGATCCAGTCTGGCCTCTGAATTGTGAAGAGAATGCACTCAAGGCCCAGGAAGGGACAGAAAGCTGGCTTGTGTAACAGAGGAGAGGACCCCAACTCTCTTTCCAGTCCTAGCAGACTGAGGTGACCAGGATGACACGGAAGAGAGTGCTGTGAACTGCATGGGGCCTGGGCAGACTCTGGGAGGAAGCAAGAGTGAGCCTGGCTTTGGGGTGACTTGGAATCCTCAGAGGAGGGGGAGGAGGAGTGCTCATTTGTGGGGATGGTGTAAGCCATCAAGGACACGACATCAGCCCTGGAGGTTTGCTGAGCAGTGACTGTCCTGATGGTGGAAACAGCCCCTGTCTTCTCAGAGAGAACTAGGCTAACCAGGGTGGCTGGCGGTGCCGGGCAGTGAATGTCTGGATGGATAATATAGCCGAATGCTCAGCGTTCAGATAGCATGGGGCCAGGGAGTGGCATGAGTGAGGCAGAAACACCAAAGCCAGGAAGAGCAGCCGAGAAAGGAGAGGATGGTGGAGGAGCTAGGCGTGTGCTTTTGGTGGAGATTTTGTGTTCTGGGGAGCAGTGATCTGTGCACATGCTGGTCGGGTTCCAACTCATTGCCAAAGCGGGACTGTGGATGGTTGAGTCTGAGATGTTTTTGCTTTGGTGCAGGGTCTTAATTTTTGTGAGTCACAGTTGGAGGGGGTTTCAGATGGGTTCCGCAGGGAGGGGGCTCTTTCAAACAGGGGCACAGGCCTTGCCGGGACTCCCAGATCGTCTCATTCCTGTGGGCAAACCTGGCAAAGAGCCCTCACCCCGCCTAGTTCCTGTTCTTCCCAACTCAGCCCCAAGGAGTTAACACCAAGGACTCCTGGACATGCATGTGCTGAGGTGGTGGGGCGTGGATCTCTCCTCCAGGGAGCTCACAGACAGACAGGAGCCACTTTCGAGGAGAATTTGGACAGTGTTCTTGGGGCGGAGGTAGACCAGATGTCTTGGGAGGCCCTGGGAACCACTAGAGATCACAGTTCCGGGCACTCGGCCCTGGACTTTCTGGCCAGTTTAGCAGCTACTTGACCTCTCTCTCCGGCACTTCAGGCTTCTTTGGATGCGCGCTTTGCACCCGGCGGTATCTTGCTGGACAGCCTCCGGTGAGAGGCGGAACTGTGCCAGGTTGGGGTCCCTGCACCGGCTTTCCCTGCTGCCCTTGGCCATGAAACTGATCAATCCAGAAGTTAAGTCAAGTCACGGTGGGGCCCATTGACTGATTTCAGCCCATGGATGTGATTTTGTTCAGCTGCACAGCGTTTTTAAGGAGGTTGTTTGGCTTCGTTTGTGCCAGCATTTAAAAATCAAGAGATTACATGTTAAAAAAAAAAAAAAGATCCAGATTTCTCCCTGAATCTGCACAGTTCCCTCTCCGGTCGTCCTACAGGGCCTCAGGGAGGGTTGAGCTTCACAAGCCAGGATTTTGTGTCCTCTGTCCACCGAGAAGGAGGTGTGTCCAGGGCTTAGAGAGGGTCCCTGGAGGGGTGCCGCGTTTGGGGAACTGGTAGTGGCCATGGTCGGGTGTCAAGAGTCTGGGGTCCCCTTGGCTTCCTCTTACACCCAGCACTTCAGAGCACACACTTCTCTGGCCACCCACCCACTCAGCCGCCCGCCACGCCCTGGTCTTCTGAAAGAGGTTCTGTCTCTAGAGAGGAGATGAGGGCTCTTTGGGAATTTGGAGGAAGGAGGACTGGCAGGAGGGGCTGCTCAGAATGGCCCTGAGAGTTAGGGGGGGAAATGGGGGGGGTAGTCCCTGTAATCCTGGGCTCCTGGGGCTGCGAGGTGGGGAGGTGGTGGGAGAGACCCTGTCGGTCGCTGAGGGCCCAGGCCGGAAGGAGCTGGTGAGTGTTCCTGCCACGTGGACCCATTCCTGCTCCAGTCTTTATAACCAGGAGCAGCTGGTTCTCGTTTGCAGCGAGCCTGCGGGGACCGTGGGGCTGGCAGCTTCTCGGGCACCGTCCCCAGCACCTTGGAGGGAGCGGATGAACCCTGGTGGAGATGGCGGGGGGCCAGGCGGAAGCGCCGGGCTGTGTGTTGGGGGTGGGAGTTAGGTGGTCAGCATCCTGCATGGGCCTGGGTCTGGCCGGGGCAAGTAGTACAGGATGGAGGCAGATGCCGCCAGGGCCAAGGACTGAGAAATTCACAGTGGGCTTCGCCAGGAACTCTATTACTCCACCAAGTGGACAACCAAGTGGTTAGAACCCTGGGCCTGGGAGGTAGATGCATCTTCTGGCTCTGCCACTCACTCCACGCTGCCAGGCATGTTACTTAAGCACCCAGGCCTCAGTTTTCCCATCCATATCAGGGGATTGTAGCATTATTTACACCATGGGGTTAGGGTAGGGAGCAAATGTGGTTGTGCATGGTAAACTCAGTGCCTTGCCTGTTGTTAAAAGTCCCAGTGTTGGCTGTTCTGCTGACACGGATATGAGGGTGTCATTCCCATCGAGATTCTTACGGGCTCTTGTTTTTAGGGGCATCTCTCATCTGGTGGGCTTCCTTGGTGGCTCAGACGGTGAAGAATTTGCGTGCAATGCAGGAGACCTGTGTTCAATCCGGGGGTTGGGAAGATCCCCTGGAGTAGGAAATGGCAACCCACTCCAGTATCCTTGCCTGGAGAATTCCATGGACAAAGAAATCTGGTGGGCTGTGGTACATGGGGTCACAAAGAGTTAGACATGACTAGGCGAGCAACACTTTCACTCTCCCATCTGTTGGTGGTGGTGGTGTTTGCTGATGCTATCTGTGTTGGGTGGAGGTGATGAAGGGTAATGACGGTCATGACAGGAAAGAAATCAAAATGCTGTCTTGAGCTGGAGCATCGTTGTAGAGAATGTAGCTGGCAGGGCCCCTGCCACGTCAGGACAGAGGAGTCCCCCAGGCTTCAGTGTTTTCTGTCTCTCCCAGAACGTGAGGCTGCTCGTGCCTCAGCCCCAGTAGAATGGAACTGTCCCCTCTTCTTCCTGAGAGGGCACGAGAGTCTTCCCTCTTGCACCCTTGTCCCATCCTGTGCCATGAAACGGATCCCTCGCTGCAGCCTCCCCGCCGGCTGTCTTCCGATGTTCACCACTAGCAGGATGCTTCCAGGCGCTCCCCAGCCGTCTGCTTATCACCTTCTCCTCGCTTTGTCTTCCAGCCTTGAAAAGATCTTTTGAGGTCGAGGAGGTCGAGACGCCCAACTCCACCCCACCCCGGAGGGTCCAGACGCCCCTGCTCCGGTCCTCTGTGGCCAGCTCCACACAGAAATTCCAGGACCTGGGTGTGAAGAACTCAGAGCCTGCAGCCCGCCATGTAGACTCCCTGAGCCAGCGATCCCCCAAGGCTGCCCTGCGGAGGGTCGAGCTCTCCGGGCCCAAGGCTGAGCCTGTGTCCCGGCGCACCGAGATCTCCATCGACATCTCGTCCAAGCAGGTAGAGAACGCCGGCACCGCTGGGCCATCCCGGTTCGGGCTCAAGCGGGCCGAGGCGCTGGGCCACAAGACGCCAGAGCCCGCCCCCAGGAGGACGGAGATCACCATAGTCAAGCCCCAGGAGTCAGCCCACCGGAGGATGGAGACCCCCGCCTCTAAGATGCCCGAGGTGCCCGCTGCCCCCGCCGCTGACGCAGCCCCCAAGAGGGTCGAGATCCAGGTGCCCAAGCCAGCCGAGGGGCCCGCCTCCCCCATCCCACCCCAGACCCTGGAGAATTCAGAACTCGCCCCGATGTCTCAGCTGCAGAGCAGGCTGGAGCCCAAGCCCCAGCCCCCCGTGGCCGAGATCCCACCCAAGAGCCACGAGGGTGAGTAGCAAGGCGCCAGTCACCTGTGCTGTGATGACTTGGGAAGTGGGGAACTGTCTTTGCCCTAGAATCTTGGAGAAAGAGCTGAATATTGAGTTGGGGGGTAGTCTATACTGAAATCTCGGGCGGGGACTGGGGGGCTCTTTCTGTTCCACAGTGGACCACAATGCAGCAAGTTGGATTTCAGTTAGACTCTGCAAAGAATATCTGGGTTGTGAGGGTCCCCCTTTAATTGGTCAACAGGGTCATGGTGTAACCGTGGCTGCGACCCCAGGATGTGGGGGCAGGACCTGGGACAGGCTCGTGTTGGGGCGGGATGGCTGTGAGACAGGCTCTCACGGTCCTGGTGGTTGGTGGTCCCTGGGCATTGGAGAGGCAGGCTTGGGCTCTAGAAGGGTGACAGGTGCCCTGCAGGTGCCTCCAGGGCAGAGGCTGTGGGAGGTGGGAGGGGGTGGTTCCTGCTCTGGAGGGTCTTCCTCCCAAAGGAGGAAGGGTTGTGCCCAGACATAAGGGGAGCATGACAGCCCCTCATCTCTGCACGCTAGGATTTTCAGGGCTGCCAGGGGGGATCCCAGGCCAGGGAGCCCTGTGATTCCTGCCCAAGTCTCTGTTCAGGGCTCTGCTGTTGTCTGGGGGGCGATTGAGGGCGTGACTCCCATCCTTGGAGGGTCTAGACCTAGACTTGTGCTCATGGGGAGCTCACGGGGGACATGATGCTGTCCCATGAAACACCATTGCTGCCCCCTGCCCCACAATGAGGGTCTTGGCCCCACAGGCTGTGTTAAGGTGCCGGCTGAGCTGAGCCTGGTGAAAGCTGGGTCTAGTTGTAATCTTGGGACTCGGAGCTCAGTAAATGTTCATTCAGTAAGTGTCCCTTGGATTGGACAGGCAGAACATTCTGGGTTTTTGATTAACCTTTTAAAAATTACTTTTAATGGTGGTAAAACACATATAATATTGACCATTGTAGCCGTTTTTAAGTGTACAGTTCTGTATGCATATTAAATACATTGTGCTGTTGTGCAGCTGTCACCACCATCCATCTCCACAACTTTTTCATCTTCCCAGCTGAAACTCTGGCCCCTTTACACATTAACTTCCCCCAATCCCCAGCACCTGGTGCCCACCTTCCTACTCTCTGTCTCTATGAGTTTAACTACTCTGGGTCCTTCATGTAGGTGGAATCCTAAATTTTTGTCCTCTTGTGTCTGGTTTATTTCACTTTGCACATCTTCAGAGTTCATCCATGTTGCAGCAGGTATCAGAATTTCCTTCCCTTTTTAAGGCTAAATAATATTCAGTTGTATGCATAGACCACACTGCTTATCCATCCATTGGTTTTTCTTTTTTTTTTTTGTAGGTACTCTATACATATTAATTGTTTTGAAAATTCCTTTGAAAGCCTATTTCTTATTTTTCCTTTTAAAATTTTTTTTATTGAAGGATAATTGCTTTGCAGAACTTTGTTGTTTTCTATCGAACCTCAACATGAGTCAGCCATAGGTGTACATATATCCCCTCCCATTTGAACCTCCTTCCCAGCTCCCTTCCCATCCCACCCTTCTCAGTTGATACAGAGCCCCTGTTTGAGTTTCCTGAGCCACACAGCAAATTCCCGTTGGCTGTCTGTTTTACATGTGGTTATATAAGTTTCCATGTTACTCTTTCCATACGGCTCACCCTCCCCTCCCCTCTCCCCATGCCCATTCTCTATGTCTGTTTCTCCATTGCTACCCTGTAAATAAATTCTTCAGTACCATTTTTCTAGATTCCATATATTTGCATTAGAATATGATATTTATCTTTCTCTTTCTGACTCACTTCACTCTGTATAATAGGTTCTGGGTTCATCTACCTCATCAGAACTGACTCAAATGCGTTCCTTTTTATTGCTAAGTAATATTCCATTGTGTATATGTACCACAACTTCTTTATCCATTCATCTGTTGATGGACATCTAGGTTGCTTCCATGTTCTAGCTATTTTAAATAGTGTTGCAATGAACAATGGGATACAGTGTCTTTTTCAATTTTTATTTCCTCAGGAATATGTCTAGGAGTGAGTTTGCTGGGTCATATGGTGGTTGTATTCCTAGATTTTTAAGGAATCTCCATACCGTCTTCCATAGTGGTTGTATCAATTTACACTCCCACAAACAGTGCAAGAGTGTTCCCTTTTCTCCATACCCTCTCCAGCATTTATTGTTTGTAGACTTTTTGATAATGGCCATTCTGAGGTGATATCTCAGTGTGGTTTTGATTTGCATTTCTCTAATAATGAGCGATGTTGAGCATCTTTTCATGTGTTTGTTAGCCATCTGTATGTCTTCTTTGGAGAAATGTCTGTTTAGGTCTTTTTCCCACTTTTTGATTGGGTTGTTTGTTTTTCTAGGATTGAGTTGTATGAGCTGCTTGTATGTATATTTTGGAAATTAATCCTTTGTCAGTTGTTTCATTTGCTATTATTTTCTCACTTTCTGAGGGTTGTCTTTTCACCTTGCTTATTTTCCTTTTCTGTGAAAAAGCTTTTAAGTTTAATCAGGTCCTACTTGTTTACTTTTGTTTTTATTTCCGTTACTCTAGGAGGTGAGTCATAGAGGATCTCTTTGATTTATGTCATCGAGTGTTCTGCCTATATTTTCCTCTAAGAGTTTTATAGTTTCTGGGCTTACCTTTAGGTCTTTAATCCATTTTGAGTTTATCTTTGTGTAGGATGTTAGGAAGTGTTCTAATTTCATTCTTTTACATGTAACTGTCCAGTTTTCCCAGCACCATTTATTGAAGAAGCTATCTGTGCCCCATTGTATATTCTTGCCTCCTTTGTCAAAAATAAGGTACCCATGGGTGCAGGGGTTTATTTCTGGTCTTGTTCCATTGATCTATATTTCTGTTTTTGTGCCAGTACTATACTGTCTTGATGACTGTAGCTTTGTAGTATAATCTGAAGTCAGGAAGATTGATTCCTCCAGTTCCATTCTTCTTTCTCAGGACTGCTTTGGCTATTCGGGGTCTTGTGTGTTTCCATATGCATTGTGAAATTGTTTGTTCTCGTTCTGGGGGAAATGCCGTTGGTTGTTTGATTATCCATCCACTGTTGATGGACACCTTGTGTCCTGCTGCTTGGCTGTTGTGAGTAAAGCTGCTGTGAACTTGGGTGTACAGATATCTCTAGTTCCTGCTCTAAGTTCTTACTTTAAAAAACAACCACAACAACAAAACCCACAATGTATTTATTTGGCTGCTCCAGGTCTTAGTTGCAGCATGTGGGATCTAGTTCCTTGACCAGGGATCGAACTCAGGCCCCTGCACTGGGAGCAGGGAGTATTACTGGACCCCCAGGAAAGTCCCTGACTTTCCTTTTTAAATGAGAATTTTCCCGTGGTCGGTGGACTTGGGGGCTTGTGATAGGGTGAGGGTAGGGGTGTTGGTGGAGCAGCCGCCTTCTTCTCAAGGTGCACATTTGACCGAGCGGGTCGGGTGGGGCGAGGTCCTGACTCTGAATCTCCCGGATCGCCGGGCGACAGTCTGGCAGCAGGGACCAGAGGTCCATTCCAGCCCTGTTGTGTGAGTCTGCGTCTCCCCAGACGTGACCCTGCAGAGCCACCCCACCCCCCAGGCGCTGTGTCAGGACACATGGCCTGTGTTTGGGGAGTGGCCGGGAGGCCGTTTCCTCCTGCTCTCCTATTGGTCCAGGGCCTTTGCTGCCGGATGCAGCTCGCTCCTGGGGGTGAGGTATTCACACTCAGCTGAGTCAAACAGGATGTGACTGGGGAGACGGTCGTCAACCATCCAGCTGTTGATGAAACTTGGCCCTGGATACCCGAGGAGGTGGTCCCGCTCCGGGGGGCGGGGGGGACAGGCAGGGCGTGTCCACTCAGGGTGGCATTGACCTGGGTCATCAGGGCAGGCAGGGTGGGGCCTCAGGCATGTCCAGGAAGGTCTTCCTCCAGCGGCAGACACTGCTGGGATTTAACCAGGAAAAGGGGGGGTGGGGTGGAGTCTTCCTGGCTGAGGCCACAGTCCAGAGGTGCCGGGAGCCTAGTGTCGGGGCGGGGCTGTGTGGCTTTTCAGGGGAAAGAATTTCAGTGTCTGAGCGGGGCCTCAGAGCCCCGGAACCGCAGCTCCTCTGTGCAGGTGGGCATCAGGATCTACGTGGAGAAGTCCATGGGCCAGGGTGGCTGTCCTCTGCCCTGGGGGGGTCGGCGTATGTGCCAGTCGAGTGTGTACCTGAGTGTGAATTCACATGTGTGCTGAGCCCGCTCCTCTGTGTCTTACAGGCTGGGTGGGGAGGCAGCTCTCTGAGACCTGTGCTCACAGACTGAGAACTCTTAGATCACTTGAAGCAGGTGGGGGTTGGACAGATGATATGGAAGGATGCTTGGGTTTGGAGGAGGTGAGGGCTTGGATGAGTCTGTTTGGGAGAATGCTTTCCATTTAAAACAGCTTCAGAAGACACTGTGGGGTGAGCCTGGAAGTAACACAGGGTGAGACGTGGACTGGGAGGAGGAAACAAGGCTTGCTGGGGGCTGGGGGATTCGACCTTCACCTGCTCAGCCTTGGACGTCCAGTCCTGAGGTCCTGGGCAAGTGCGGGTGAAGGTCAGGGCCCGATGGAGGGGTGTTCCCGGCATTTATTGTCGGGGAGTCTGGGGGACCCTGGGTCTGAAATCCCCTACTCCTAGTCCTTGTTCTTAGGCTTCATCGGTTTTTCCCATCCTTCCCCTCCTCTGGTTTCGGTCTGTCCAGCCTCTCTAGGCACCTTGGCTTCACTTCCTGTCTGTCTGCCCTGCAGACCTGGCACTCGCATCCCCTTCCACCCTGCTGTGGGTGGGAGGTGGGGGATTGGGTTGGGAGCCCCTGGAAACCCCCCAGCCTGCAGGCCCTGCTCTGACTGCCGTCTGTGATCACTATCTGCTCCCCCCACCTCCGGGGCGGGGGAGCAGCTGGTGCTGCAGGGGCAGAGGATCAGGGAGGTTGGGAGCTCTGTGCCCTCTGATCAGAC